GCCTGCGTGGGCTCGGTGCCGCCGGTGTCCCGGCAGGAGCGCTGCACCTTACACTCACTGGAGATTCCAGCCGCCTTTTCCATCCCTCGGAGTCACCGGGCCTCTGCCGCCGATTCTAGGAATCGGGGGGCCCTGGTGTTTCTGACTGACCAACCTAGTTCCTTTTCTGTTTCAAAGGGAGACGCTGGTTTTCACCATGAATTTTGAAGGTCTCGACCCCTCCCTTGCTGAGTATGCTCCCCCGCTCCACCCCACGCTGGACCCCGTCCTGGACCCCCATCTCAACCCCAGCTTGCTGCAGAACGTGGAGCTGGATGCCGAGGGGGTGCCGTTAGAGGGTATCGCGGTGCCGGAGTCGGTGCACCTCATGGAGGGCATGTACAGCGAGCTGCACACCGCCGTCTCTGAAGTGGGGGTGCCCGTCTCCGTCTCCCATTTCGACCTGCACGAAGAGATGCTGTGGGTTGGGAACCATGGGGTAGGTGCCTGCTCCGGGAGCGGGGCAGGGAGGGTCACTGCCCCAGCCGGGCTGTCAGCGCCACGCTGGCTGCCCGACGCCTGCCGGCTGCCACCAGCCGGGGCCAAGCTGGCGGTGGGCAGAGAGTGGTTCCGCATGGGGCTGAGCCGGAGGGTCCTGCTCCAACCGGGGCTGTGCTGCACCGGTGCAGAGCTCCTGCCCGGCAGTCGTTGATGCATCTCGGAGCATGAGCAGGAAGCCTCCCGTAGGCTGGCTGAGGCCGTAAGGCAGCCGATAGCCTGCCCCACCGGGAGCTGGCGCAGGGCAAAGTGGCGTTTGCCTGTCCCCGTCCAAGTGAAGCCGGGGTGGGTCCTGATGAGCCTGTCCCTGGCTGGTTTTAGGGCCACGCCACCTCTTTCTTCGGCCCAACGCTGGAGCGATACTCCTCCTTCCAAGTGAACAGCAGCGACGACATCCGCCAGATCCAGAGCCTGGAGAATGGTGTCCTTTTCCTCACCAAAACCAACCTGAAGTACATGTCCCGAGGGGGCCTCATCATTTTTGACTACCTGTGAGTGCCTTCCCCTGGCAGCAGGCGCATCGCGCCGGCCCCATGAGCTGCCCCTGTGCCGGGGAGATGCTCCTGGCCCCTCTGCCGGCAGTGTAAAAGCCAGATCGGGGAGAGGGCAAGGGCAGATCCTCCGCCCCCTTCCCCACTGCCTCCCCGAGCTGGGCAGGAGCGCGAGGGCTGTCCTCTCCCCTTTCCCGCAGCATGGACGAGTCCGAGGACATGCACAGCCTCCTGCTGACGGACAGCAGCACGCTGCTCGTTGGCGGGCTGCAGAACCACGTCATTGAGATAGACCTCAACACTGTCCAGGAGACGCAGAAGGTACAGCCGGGCTGGGGGCCGCTCCCTGCTGTGGCAAGGTGCTTTGTTCTGGGGCTCAGCCCCACTCACCTCGCTCCTCTGCCTCCTTCCCAGTACACCGTGGAGGTTCCCGGCATCACCATCATGAGGCAATCAAACCGCTTCTTTTTCTGTGGGCACACCTCGGGGAAGGTAACACCAGCCCCATCCTATCTGGCAGCCCTGCTGATGCTCGGCTTCCCTCTGGGATACTCTGGAGCTGGTGTCCAGCTTTTCCCAGAGCTCGAGGGGCTCCCAGGTAGCCGGCAGCTGCCTGCGAGGCACCCAGCACCCCCATCTCACCCTCCCAGGTCTCCCTGCGGGATCTGCGCACGTTTGTGGTGGAGCACGAATTCGATGCGTACTCGGGAAGCTTGTCTGATTTTGACGTCCACGGGAACCTGCTGGTGACCTGCGGCTTCTCCAGCCGAATGAACGGCCTTGCCTGCGACCGCTTCCTGAAGGTGTATGACCTGCGCATGATGCGGGCCACCACCCCGCTGCAGGTCCACATCGACCCCTTCTTCCTCCGCTTCATCCCCACCTACACCTCCCGCCTGGCCATCATCTCCCAGACAGGTGGGCGAAGCTGCATCCCCCGCCCGGCCAGGCTCTGCTCCCCTGGCGAGAGTGGGGCGGCGGCCCCAGGCTCAGGGTCAAATCCCAGTGGGATGGAGTTAGCCGCGTAAGCGAGAGGCGTGCTGGGTCGCCGTGTGCTGGCCTGCCCGCGTGCTCCCTGGTGCCATGTCGCTCTGTGCTTCGCTCTCACGCAGGTCAGTGCCAGTTCTGCGAGCCCACCGGCCTCGCCAACCCCGCTGACATCTTCCACGTGAACACCGTTGGGCCCCTGATCATGACCTTCGACGTCTCGGCCAGCAAGCAGGCCCTGGCCTTCGGCGACTCGGAGGGGTGCGTCCACCTCTGGGCCGACTCCCCGGAGGTCACCTTCAACGCTTACTCCCGGGAGACCGACTTTGCCTTGCCCTGCATCGTGGACACGCTGCCCCACTTGGACTGGAACCAGGACCTCGTGCCGCTCTCGCTCATCCCTGTGCCGCTGACCAGCGACACCCTGCTCTCCGACTGGCCCGCTGCCAACTCTGCCCCGGCACCCCGGTAATTTGCCAGTCTCTCCCAGGAAAAACCAGCACGGGAAAGCTGGCCCTGGTAGGGATCCCCTCCTTCCCCGGGTCTTGGAAGCAGGAGAGCAGCTCTGTTGCTCCCCCTGCTCCCCTGTCTCGTGGCTGGCACTGCCTTTCCTCATCACGTGCCGTGTGAAATGCAAGATAAGTTCCCCTTGGCAGAGCTTAACCGCTGAGGTGCGGTGACCAGGCAGGTCTGAAGGCGGTAGGGTATGGTCAAACCTCCATCCTCTTGGTGGGGAGATCCCGGTGGGATCCTGGCTGCATTCTGCCTGCGTGGAAACTCTTGTTTTTCCTCTGCCTGCACTCAGCGCTGCTGCTGTGTTCTGGTGTAGCCCAGGTGTTTTGTTGTGATGGAAAATGAACCTGGGGGAAGGACTGAGTGGGGGAAACCCTTGTGACCCGCTGGTGGGTCCCTGAGCACACCCAGCAAGGCCCTTGGTTAAACGATGCTGCCAAACAGAGCAGCCTCTGAGTCGTGGCGTGTTTTGCAGGCGAGCCCCCCCAGTAGATCCTGAGATTTTGCGCACCATGAAGAAAGTGGGGTTCATCGGCTACGCCCCAAACCCAAGGACCAAGCTCCGCAACCAGGTACCCGCTCTCAGGAGGGGATTGTGCGGGGCGCGGGGTGCTTCTGCCAGCAGCAGAGGTCTGCAGTCTGGGGAGGGATGGAGCTCTCGCTGCATGCCGAATGAGCTCAGAACTTTCTGCAGGGCTCAGGGCAGGGGTGAGAGCTGAAATTCTCTGGCTTGGGGTGTTGCAGGAAGCAGGCGTATAGTTTGGAGGTGACAGCTTTTCTTGAGCAGTGTCAGCGGGTGAGCCAGCCCTGGGGGAGGGCTGGAGTCTCCCCCTTGGGCCAGAATCCCAGTTCTATTGATAACTCGCTCTGTGGTAGGAAAGGTTTGAGCTGTCCAGTTCGGAGGTTTATGGCACGTCCCTCGCCCTTGGGAAAACACTGCTGTGTTTCGCCCTTGCCCGCAGTGCCGCTGTAGTTTCCCACAGTGATAAGTCCCTTGTAAGAAGGAAGGTGTGGAGGCCTCATGCAGGTTGAGGGAGGGCCCCACTCCTTTCTGGTTTATTCCTTTGCTCATTTGGGGAGGCAGGAAAGCCCAAGAATTGCTTGTTTCAGTATGTGGTGCTTTGCTCTGCCTCAGGGTTCAGCCACTCTTCCCTTCTCTTCCCCCTTGCAGATTCCCTATCGGTTAAAAGAGACAGACAACGAGTTTGACAACTTCAGCCAAGTCCCCGAGTCCCCTATTGGGCGGGAAGAGGAGCCACACCTCTACATGGTGGCCAAGAAGTACAGGAAGGTAGCGGGGGGCTGGCTGGGGGTCCCCAGGCTGGGCTTGTCTGGGGCAAAGGACCTGCCTGGGCCCAAGCACCTGCCCGCGTCTCCGTGGGGAGCACCGAGGCGTTGTGCCGGTGTCCTGTGGTGTGGGAAGGTGTGTGTTTTAACACGTTGTGCCTCTGCTCAGGTCACCATCAAATACTCCAAGCTGGGGCTGGAAGACTTTGACTTCAAGCATTACAACAAGACGCTGTTTGCGGGCCTGGAGCCCCATATCCCCAACGCCTACTGCAACTGCATGATCCAGGTGGGAGAAGCCCCAGTGCTGCCCAGACCACGGCGGCCCCCAGGACCTCCCCCGACTGCTTCCTCTCTGCCAGGTGCTGTATTTCTTGGAGCCGGTCCGCTGCCTGGTCCAGAACCACCTGTGCCAGAAGGAGTTCTGCCTGGGCTGTGAGCTGGGCTTGCTCTTCCACATGCTGGACCTGTCCCGAGGAGACCCCTGCCAGGTCCGTGGTGAGCCGTGATGAGCCAGGCGTGATGTGGGGCCGGCAGGCTGGGCTGCCTGGGAGGGTCAGAGAGATCACAGAGGAGCAGGAGCCGGGCGGTGCCAGGTCCTCGGTGATGGCATCAGACAGCATGGAAACTCCTTTGTCACTTGACCTCGGTGACATGCCACTCTTGCCCCATCCCCAGGGAAGCAACTTTTTGCGGGCTTTCCGTACAATCCCAGAGGCTTCAGCGCTGGGGCTGATCCTGGCTGACTCGGACGAAGCCACAGGGAAGGTGAACCTGGGGCGGCTGATTCAGAGCTGGAACCGTTTCATCCTTACTCAGCTGCACCAGGAAACCCAGGAGCAGGAGGGACCGCAGGCGTATCGGGGGGCTGGCAGCAGGTAAATCCCCGGCCCAGGGACAGGACAGGCAGTAACTGAACCAGGGAGCAGGGCTAGCTCCCAGAGGCCCCATCCATCCCTCGGGAAGGAGCTTGCCGCCCATGCCTGCCCCGAGGGCTGCACGGGAACGCGCGGAGCTGCAGGCTGCCCCTGCAGCTGGGTTGGAACCCTGTGCTGAACCTGTGTCCCTCCTAGGCCTAGCCCCCCTGCTTGCTGGGTTGGGGGTGCGCAGAGGTGACCGGCTCTGGAAGCCCGATCGCTGGTTCCCCAAGAGCTGCTGGAATCTGGCTGCTGGCCCCAAATGGCCCTTGTGCAGCCCGAGATGTGTGGGTCCCCAGTGCTCAGCCCACCGTACCAGCCAGCCCCGCTCCGCAGGGGTTGCCGGGATCCTGTTAACCCCGGTGCTCTTTTTCTCCAGCAGCTTTGGGTCCTCGGGGGACTCGGTTATCGGGCAGCTGTTCAGCTGCGAGATGGAGAACTGCAGCATGTGTCGCTGCGGCAAGGAAACCGTCCGCGTGTCCTCCACGCTGCTCTTCACCCTCTCCTACCCTGAGAGCACTGGTAACAGGCAGGGGCGGGCAGGGCAGGGCTGGGCACGTTTAACACTGCTGCATTTCCATGGCCGGGCGGGGTTTGTTATCCGTATGGATGAGCCGTGACTTTTCTGGGTGATAGACACCTGCAGCGAGGAGCTCCTGCAGTGCTCTGGCCCCGGCTGCGGCAGACCCGGCAGCCGAGGTCTAGTGGTGGGGTTCCAACCAGCCAAGCTTTTGGCTACAGAAAGGCAGATTTGGGGGTTGACCTTCTCACTGGTGGTTGTGAGGAAAACCCCAGAGGTTTGGCTGAGCTAAATTGGTAAAGATTTGTGTGTTGGAAGGTGACGTTATTCTCCTTTCTCCCTTCAGAAAAGCCGGTCAAAGATTATGAGTTTGCCCAAATTTTAAAGCGAAGCATCTGCTTGGAGCAGAACACGCAAGCCTGGTGCGAGAACTGTGAGAAGTACCAGCCCACGGTGAGGCCGGGAGCGGGGTGCGAGCACATCACGCTTCATGGGCTACGAGGGGTTGCGGGAGAAGGGTGCGAGCGCCCCGTGCCACCGGCTGAGCGGGGACAGTTTCTCCATTAGTCAGTGGGGAACCTCCTGAGCGGATGCTGGAGATTCGGTTCCTGGCCTGGATGGCGAGCTGGCGTGGCGTGGGGTATTTCCTGGGCTGTGCGAGGCTGGAATGCGTCTCGCAGGTCATGCGGATCCCAGCTGAATCCCCCGGGGGTAGGGGGGCAGAGGTAACCCCCCGGGAGCTGAGCACACCCGCTCTGAGGCGGCAGCCTGCTCCCTGCCTCCGTTGCTCTTGCAGTAACCCCAGCTGCCAGGAACCCAGCCAGGCAGTGGGGAGGAAGCTCTGCAGGCGAAGGCGTTGGAGGAGGGAAGAGGGTAGCACGTGCCAAGTCCGGTTTTGAGCCTCTCCAGGGCTCTCGCTGCTGCCCGGCTTCCATCTCCTGCTCTCTCCGCAGGTCCAGACCCGGAACATCCGCTGCCTGCCGGACGTCCTGGTCATTAACTGTGAGGTGAACAGCTCCAAGGAGGCAGATTTCTGGAAGACACAGGCTGAGGTGGGGGAGACACTTTGGGGCAGAAGCAGGCTTGTTCTCCCTGGCACATGGGGTTCGCTGCGTGTCCAGTTCTGCGGAGGTGTTTTCACTCTGATCTCGCTGTCTCTAAGTCTCTCGCTCTCCACCCGAGCGTCACCCTACTCTGTTTGCAGAGGACATGTTGGTATTTGGTCATGCTTGTAGCATGAGCTGTGCCTTTGGAGTTGGAAAAGACAAGATCTTCTGCCATGACAAGGCTGACGGGACTGCAGTAGAGTCACTCTTTCATTCCCCCAGTCCCCCAGGACCTAGGAGCAGCAAGGCAGTGCCCGCTTCCCAGAGCACAAGGCCAGCAGAGAGCGGGTGGACAGTTGGGTTTCCCTCGCTGTCTTTTTCCCTGTCTCCGACTTTAAAGTCCCTGTCTTTTCCCCACTTCTGGCCTGGCTGTCACCCACGGGTTCCCAAGCCCAGCCTGTCACTCCGTGCTGACGCTTGCCTGTGTTTCGTTGCCAGTATGCCTTTCAGAGAGCCATGATGAAGAGAGGAGGCTTTGAGATCACCAAAGGCAAAGAAATCTCTCTGGGAGAGTGGTAGGTGACCGTTCCTGGGGTGGCGACTCTGAGCAGTGACGCCTTCTGGGTTGTTCTCTGGGCCTTGGAGAGCTCAGGGCTGTTTCTCATCTGATAATGATGATGTGATAACCTGCCTGTCTGTGGCTCCTCGCGGGCTCTGAATGGAACAGTCTCATTGCTGCTCTTGAGACTGTGACCCTGTATGGGCGCTCTGCGCCGCATCCCCTTCAGACACCCTCATGATCCACCCTGTGATCCACTTCTGAGCCCCCAGCCCTCATTCCCCTTCCCTTTTCCGACTGACAAAAGACCCAGGACCGTGTATCGGCCCTTTCTGGCCGACATTAGCTGACCACCTTTCCCGGGATCCTGCTCTAGGCAGCTGCAGGGAAGTGGTGCAGATCTGGCTTCCCCGTCTCTGTCCTGCAGAAGGTTTAGGAATAGGCTGGCGGGGGGGGATTCTGCCCCAGAGAAGTCCTGGACATCTTGTGACTCCCTCCGACTCGGCTTTCCGTGATTCTCCATGCAGGAAGGAGCTGGGGAACCCCGACACGGGGCATTCGTATCCTTCCGTGGAGGAACTGAAGAACATTTGGATCCCCCATGCCATCAAGATGAGGCTCACCAAGAGCAAGGAGCTAGATGTCTGCAACTGGAGTGAGAACGATGAGGTAAAGGCTGATGAGATCACTCTGGGGCTACGTGGTTGTGTGCACGTGGGGCTGCGGGAGCAGAACTGCTACAGAACCGCTTTCTGCTGAGTGTGTGTGGGCAAGAGATAACGAGGCTGTCTCGGAGACACCTCGGGTGAGCGTGGAAACCTCTGGGCTGGCGGTGAGAGGGCATGTCCGAGCTCTGGGGTTTGGGTCGGAGCCCTGGGAGCTGCCTGGCAGACAGTCGGGGCTCAGACATTTCCCTGGGGGCCGGTTCCTCTTGCAGCTGAGCCCGACTGACGACCCCGAGTCGGTCTATGTCTACGATCTAATGGCGACCGTCGTCCACATCCTGGATTCGCGCACGGGGGGCAGCCTGGTGGGGCACATCAAAGTGGGAGAGACCTACCACCAAAGGAAGGAGGTGAGACGCCCTGCGGGACTGGTGCTCTCCCACCCACAGCCACCGTACCCACAGGCTGCTGAGAGCAGCCCTGCTCCCTGGGAGTCCTGCCTTGCCGAGGCGTTCTCGCTCACGGCTTGCTCTCGGTGGGGTCGGCTAACAGACCTGGTCCTGGGTCCCTTGGTCAGGCGCTGAGCGTTTGGCTGGAGGTGCCAGGCACCCTGAATCGCCAAGTGCTGCTTGGGCACCTCACGGGGAGGGAAGGGCTGAAGAAGCACTCCCACACTCAGGCTGGTTCCTCCTCGGTCACGGGCGCGTCGCCAGCTCGTCCTTGTGCTTCCAGGGAAGGGCTGGGACGTCATCTCCCTTCCCGAGGAAAGGGGGCTGCTCTGGGCAGCCCTGTTGCCCAGTGGAGATGCCCAAGCCAGGAGTTCCCAGAGTGTGTCAAGGCTGCATCCCTGTCTCTTATCTGTTGCATCTCCGTGGAGTTTTGGTTAGGAGTCGGGCAGAGATGGTGCCTGTCCAGCCCCAGTGCTTCACTTACGCATCATCACCACCCAGGCCAGCAGGGATTTCCCCACCGTGTCCCAGGAAGGGCGGGAGTTCCCACATGGCATCGTCACACCCCTCTTTCCCCGGTAACTGGGTAGAGGAGTCATTGCCTTTGCCTGGGGGGGCCCCTAAGGCCGCGCCTGTGCCTCTCCCCCCAGGGAGTCACACACCAGCAGTGGTACCTCTTCAACGACTTCCTCATCGAGCCTGTGGATAAGGTGAGCGCTCGGGGTGGTGCCACTGGCCGTGTGTCAAGGTGAGGCCGTGGCCACGGGGACCCCGTGGAGGGGGGTTTCCTGCTGCAGGCGGGAGCACCCCGTCCCGTGCCGGGCCGCCCCTGCACTGTCCCCCGTCCCCTGCAGTGCGAGGCGGTGCAGTTCGACATGAGCTGGAAGGTGCCGGCTATCCTGTACTACGCCCGGAGGAACCTCAACGCCAAGTACAACCTCGTCAGTGAGTGTCTGGGGTGGAAGTGGCCGTGTGGCCAGTGACGCCGGCTCGCCGCTGATCTCCCTTCCCCTTTTCCTGCAGTCAAGAACCCCATCGAAGCCAGCGTGCTGCTGGCAGAGGCCTCCCTGGCTCGCAAGCAGCGCAAGTGCCACGCCACCTTCATCCCCCTCATGTTGAGCGAGATGCCGCAGGCGGGCGACCTGGTGGGGCTGGATGCCGAGTTTGTCACGCTGAACGAGGTCAGGCCTCGGGACGGGGCACAAGGGCAGCCCCTCTGCATGCGCCCAGCCCCTGGGGGACTGCGGGAGCCCTCGGTCACCGAGCTCTCCGCTCGCCCGTCGCAGGAGGAGGCTGAGCTGCGCAGCGACGGGACCAAATCCACCATCAAGCCCAGCCAGATGTCGGTGGCCAGGATCACGTGCGTGCGCGGGCAGGGCCCTAACGAGGGCGTCCCCTTCATCGACGACTATATCTCCACCCAAGAGCAGGTATGGGGCTCCTGCCTGGCCTCGCGTGGCTCCCCAGCCCCGTGGACCCGCTCTACCTCCCGCTCCATGGAGGGGCACCCACAGCAATGGCCGCGGCCTCCCCGGGATGCCAGCGGGGGAATCGGGGAGGGACGGACCCCCACGGGCCCTGGTCTCCACAGGTGGTGGATTACCTGACCCAGTACTCTGGGATCAAGCCGGGAGACCTGGACGCCAAGATCTCCTCCAAGCACCTCACCACTCTCAAATCCACCTACCTGAAGCTGCGCTTCCTCATCGACGTGGGAGTCAAGTTCGTGGGCCACGGGCTGCAGAAGGACTTCCGTGTCATCAACCTGATGGTGATGGCGCCGAGCCCCCCTCCCTCAGCCCGGGGGTCTTGGGGCGGGCCAGGAGGCTGGCGGCAGGGCCGGGGCTCAGCCCCCCGCAGCAGCCCCCCTGCGCTGGCGGCAGGACCCTCTCCGCTTTCCAGGTGCCCAAGGACCAGGTGATCGACACCGTCTACCTCTTCCACATCCCGAGGAAGAGGATGATTTCCCTGCGCTTCCTCGCCTGGTACTTCCTGGGTCAGTGGCCGAACCCTCGCAGCCCGGGGGGGCGGGAGCGGGGGCAGACCCCCCCGGGGCCCCCGCCAGCCCCCCCCTGACCGGGGCTCTCCCCACAGACCTGAAGATCCAGAGCGAGACCCACGACAGCATCGAGGACGCCCGCACGGCCCTGCAGCTCTACCGCAAGTACCTGGAGCTGAGCCCGCAGGGCGCCGAGCCCGAGGACTTCCGCAAGGTGCTCAAGGGCCTCTACGAGAAGGGCCGCAAGATGGACTGGAAGGTGCCCGAGCCCGACAGCCAGAGCAG